ACTGGTCTCTGCCGACCTGAAACCATAAGCGGCTGCTGACCCACATCCACGCTGGGAGCGCCGTGGGGCACTACCTGCACCCACAGGAGGCAAGGGGGTCCCCCGCCCGGGGCGTCCCCCCGGATTGGCCACGGGCGGCTTTGCTGGGCAGCATCGGAGCCAGAGGAAAGCAGGCTGAGAGGGGGATTAGCTCTCTAGTGAGGGCGTAGTCGCCCCGAAGGAAGGAGCGGGGCCCAAGAGACTGCTCGACAGGTGCTGGATTCCTGCAGGCATCGCCCCGTGCCCTGCTGACAGCCCGTGCCCACCATGGAGCAAAGAGCCAGCAGGACCATCTAACCAGGCGCCCTCGCGCAGAGCCGGGAAGTGCCAGCGGGAGGGAGAAGGGAGCGCTGCGGACAGGTCCGCTTGGCCCTCGGAGGCTCAGCCCGCGCTCAGGAGGTCATCGCTTCGTTGCGCAGGTCAGTGGCGCGAAGGGATGCTTGCATCCTGGCACCGGCTGCTGACGGGACAGCTCGTCCCAGGCCTGCACTTGTTTAATTCTCTAACGAATGCTTTCCCAGGGTGTTGTCTGTGGGCTGGGGAGGCTGATGGCATGAATTGTGGCCCTTGTATTTAACAAACAGACTCCCCCTACCCCATCCGTACTGTGTGGAGGCACGAGGAGCCATCCTAGCATTTATATGGACCCTTCTGGGTGCAGCTTGCCTGGCACAGCAGGGCTTTGCTGGGCATTGTCCAGCACCGACTGCTCTGTCCTCTGTGTGCATCCAGGGACTGGCAGCCATGGCTGAACCTGCTGCAGCCTTCGGCCTCTCATCCTGGGCTGGTGACTTCTGGCATCGGCGCAAGTCTTGTCCTGGCACCCACCTGCAGCTAGCTCTGCGGCAGTGCCTGCTCTGGCCCACCTGCGTGTGATGCACGGGGAAGGGCAGGTGCCCATGCTGATGAGCTTTTAGGTGTATGTGAACATACCCATGGTATTTTTACCTGTGAATAAAGCTCCTTAACTGAGGAGAAAATAATAGCAAGCTGTAGAGCATGCAAAGGCAGGTGCAGGGTACACGCTGTGACCACCCTGTGCAGCCGTGAGCAGAAGAGCCAGCATATGTGCCATGGTGTTAGGAACAAGGCAGGTCTGAACTGCCTGGCTCAGAGCTAGGATAAATCTCCAGCAGAGCTACGCTATAGCATATTGGCTTTGGAGGCATCTCCACAGGTGAGCTACTCTGGTGCACCTCATCTTTTTCAGCCAACATCTAGCTGCAGGCAGGTAAAAGTCCCTTCATGCCTTGCTGTACTGTTGAGTAGCACTGAGCAAGTGGCTCCTGCAGAGGTACCCATCCAGCTCCAAACTCAGAGAGTACTAATGGATGTTTGTCTAATGTGCGCTTTAAAATCAGTTGACTCATCGTTCACAGGCAATGCAGAAATCTCTGAAGAGCATGCCACAGATGGACAAATATTTTCTTGCTAGGAAGTCGGGGGGAAAAAAAAGATGAATGGTTTGATTGGTTCATTTGGTTTGTGGTGCAGGACGAGATCAAGAGCGAGGCTGGGAGAGGGGCTTGGATAAAAAGGCTCAGGTGTTTGGTGTCAGTCACTCTTATTCGAGGTAGCTATGTGCAGCAGATGGTGCAGTGGTGAAGCACTAGCACCGATTGAGAAATCGTTGCGCTTTTGCAGCAGGTCATCTTTTGTACAGCTGTACCTAGCTTGTCAGTCAGGTGGAGCTGGGAGAGGAGCAGCAGGTGGGTAATGGCAGAAGCTGAGCGAGACTGTTCAGTCTGGCTGTCCTGGTGCCAGTGACCCAGATGACACCAGAAAGGGTGTGAGGGGGAAGGTATGGGTGTCTGGAGAGTGTGTAATGAATATTTTCTTCCTTGCAATGATTCTTTGCCTTGAAAATGTCTTTATAGCACCCTATTCTCAGTTCATGCCTCTGCCCCTTGCCACGGTCCCTGAGACCTGGGCTGGAGGGGAGAGACTGGAGTAGCCTGCGTTGGCCCCTGTGTTCAGCCCGAGAGTTGTTAGGATATGGCCATCCATAAGAAGAGCTGCCCAATCCACACTCAGAGCCAGATCCTGCTCCCTTTTTTCATGGCTGATAGGATCCTGAAAGTTTGGGGATCTCTGCTGCAGGGACCCGCGGTGGTGGCAGATGCCTGGGTGCTGCCATGAACAAACCCTCAAGTGTTTTCAGGAGCAATGGTTCCCCGGGGAGGGGAAGGTGGGAGACCACTGTGGGTGGCTGGTGACTCTGATTCCACCCTTCCCTCCACAAGTCAACATTGGCTCAGGCACCTGACTAAAACCAACCAGCCAAGACCATTTTGTGCCTCCTCACATCGATGCACTGTGGGTGCAGGTGCCATGTTCTTTGCGGAGGGGTCCAGAACTGGCCTAGTTGCATTGTCTTACAAGTCCCTTCTCCAGTATCCCCTAAACTATGGTTTCAGACCCCTCTCAGAGCACTTCTCAGTCCTGTTTCCAGCCGTGTCTCTGCATGCTGAACCTCCTGCAGCCTGAGAAAGACCAGTCACTCTCCTTTTCTGCAAGATTCAGGGGTGTCACAGTGTAGGACCACCTCTTGCCAAGCAAGGGCCCTTTACCTGGATTATGCCCCAGCCTCTGCCATCCATGCTTTTCCCTAAAGGATTTGCACTTGTTTAGCCTGCAGAGCAACAGCAGTGCTACGGGAATCAGGGCAAGTCGTCCCCATTGCCTTGAGAAACGCACCCAGATCCATAGCCCTGTGTGTACCACCTCTCTCCTTGTCCCCTCGGCAGTCTCCAGTCAGCACGTGACTGCTGGCATTTCCCACGACTGCCAGTGCCAAGGGATGGGGACATTGTCGCCACCTCGTAGTCCTTCAGCCAAGAGAGCTGGGAGGAGAGAGGACCCACGTTGGGGTGTATTGCCAGCAGGATGGTGATAGGGCAAACTGGATCCAGCAAAGCCCAGCTCAGGCATGGAGAAAGCCCACCTGCTTTCTAACACCTGTCTGGTGCTACTTAGGAGCATCTATAATCAAAGGCCAGTGAATTTTTTGCATACAAAATGTGTGTAAATAAGCCTGGCTGAGCAAGAAACTGAGGCGAGTGGTGCTGGAAAGAGGTATGGCAGAGACCTGGTGCCTAGGGGAGAAATGAGAAAAACATACCCACAGCAGCCAACTGGAGCAAAATTCCTGGGCAGCTTAACAGCCCCGAGAGCGACTCACAAGACATCCCCTCTAATTCCCTCCTTCTCCCCATTAGGCTTTGTTCCGGACCCTCCATGTAGGTACAAAGCCCTAATCTCTCTGGCATGCAAATAACCATTGCCACCGGTTTGCCCGTGCTCTCCCCCTTCACCCATTTCCTAAATCTGGCCCCTCACGACAGGGAAGGGAGGGTGAGGGAGAAGACTGTGCACAGAGGCCTCCTGGAGGAAAGCACAGCAGGGTTAACAGACCTCCTGTGTCCCACTGCTGGAGGCATCTGGAGCAGGGCAGGTCCTGGAAGGCTCCCAGCTGGAGCAGACCGGGAGGGGAGAGGCTCAAAGAAAGATCTTGGGAGCTGAGTGGGGTTCGTGTTGCTGGCTCTCACCTTGCACCAGCCTGCAGGCAAGGCTGGATATGGAGCAAGTGGGGTGCTGCAGATCCTGATGCCCCACCACATCAGATACAGCTCTCCAGTCTCAGCTGGGAGCTATGACCCTGCTTGGCTGTGTCTGACCAGGGGTTACAGAGCTGTGGGCTGCCCTGAGCTCAGGGAGACCTTCCCACCTCTGCCCAGCTGTGGCTTGACCTTGCACCCTGAAGCAATCCTGCTTTGCCTGGCAGGATGATGGTGCAGGGAGATGATGTGGTCCCCCAGTGAGGCTCTTGGAGTTTGGAGATGGTGGGCATGGAAAGAAACCTTGTAGTAAATGTTTGTCTGCTCTTCTCTTCTTGCAGTGTCTGGAGACTTCTCTCTCTCTCTCTCTGTTGCCCTACCTCGTCCTGGTCTGCCTTTCCCCTCCCAGGCTAGACGATGGGGAGGGCTGACCCAGAGGAAGGGCAGCTCCCAGCTCCCGTGAAGCCCCCAGATGGTGGCTGGGGCTGGATCGTGCTCCTTGGCTGCTTTGTGATCACCGGCTTCTCCTATGCCTTCCCGAAAGCCGTCAGTGTCTACTTCAAGGAGCTCATGAAAGATTTCCACGTGGGCTACAGTGACACAGCCTGGATCTCCTCCATCATGCTGGCCATGCTCTACGGGACAGGTGATGCTTGGATACGCTTCCTCCTCCCCAACTTGTGCCTTCCGCTGCCCTGCTACGGGCCCAGACCGTCCCCATGGGCTTTTCTCATGCTCACTGGCCCGGTCATGAATCAACATGCAGAATACAATTGTCCCACCACTTCTCTTCTAGAAGTGTGCTGCATTTCATGTCCCTGTTTGCTCTGCCCCAGAAGACCTCAGGTGTCACCCCACCTGCCTCTCAGACAGTTGACACGGGGTTTGCTGCCATTGCTGAAGTGCTGCCCCTATGACACCAAGCCCCTCTTGCTCCCAGGGAATCGGGGGCTGAAGACAGGGCAAAGCAGAGGTCTCCACACCGCAGCCTCTCTCCCTTGGCCAGGCCCAACGGATGTGTATCTAAGCAACCAAGAACCATCAAGGCCAAGAAATGGCCTCAAGTTGCACCAAGGGAGGTTTAGATTGGACATTAGGAAAAATTTCTTTACTGAAAGAGTGGTCAGGCCTTGGAACAGGCTGCCCAGGGAAGTGGTAGAGTCACCATCCCTGGAAGTATTTAAAAGACGTGTAGATGAGGTGCTCAGGGACATGGTTTAGTGGGCATGGTGGTGGTGGGTTGATGGTTGGACTCGATGATCTTAGAGGTCTTTTCCAACCTTAATGATTCTATGATTCTACGATTATTAGAGTTTCATCTTCCCCAAGTGCCCTGCTTGGGCTGGCTGCCCCTTCCCAGTTGTCCTGTCTCCTTCTGGTCTCCTACTCTGTCTCCTCTGCTTCCTCCCAGGACCAGTGTGCAGCATCATGGTGAATCAGTTCGGCTGCCGGCCCGTGATGCTCATCGGCGGGCTGCTAGCTTCCTCTGGGATGATCCTGGCATCTTTTACCACCAATATCATTGAGCTTTATCTGACAGCTGGCGTGCTGACGGGTGAGAGTCCCAGGAGTTGGAGTGGTGGGGCACAGACTTACCTGGGGAAGAGCCAAGACCATGTTGTATCTCCCTTTAGCATTGCCATGTCTAGCATCAGGTCTCCCCTCACCTATTCGCACCTGCTCACAGAAAGTATCTAGTCCTGAACGTTGCACCTGTGGGAGATGCATCTGCTGGATTTAAACAGGCAGGGCCAGTGGTTGAGGGGAGAAGGGCAGAAGAAACATAAGTGATGCTCAGTGGTCATAGCAACTGGAGTGGCATCAGTATACAGTGGTAGGTCTAAACATGGCCACAGTTACCTGATTCAAATACACTTCAGGTAGCTGTTTTAGCCCATCTTCTCCATGTGCAAGCCACCAACATGAAGGAGCAGAGGCTTGTGAGGAACACATCATGGGACTTCAGGACTAGGATAGTCTGAGGGGAGTTTTCAGGTTGTTGCAAACCATGTCTCATGTTCTTGCACTCCCTGACTCTCTCCTGGCTCTCACCCTCATGCAGGTCTGGGTATGGCGTTGAATTTCCAGCCCTCACTGATCATGCTGGGCACCTACTTTGACAAGCGTCGGCCTCTTGCCAATGGACTGGCAGCCGCTGGGAGCCCTGTCTTCCTTTCCTCCCTCTCTCCACTGGGGCAAGTGCTGCTGGAGAAGTTTGGTTGGCGAGGAGGGTTCCTTATCATGGGGGGCCTTCTGCTTAACTGCTGCACTTGTGGGGCAGTCATGAGACCCCTGGATATGGGCATGAAGCGGAAGATGGAGAAAGCTCAGGACAAATACGAAGCCAAGGAGATGCTGCCCATAGGAGGGAAATCAGAGGAGGGAATCAGCACCACTGATGGAACCAAGAAAGCCAAGAAAGCTAAGAAGAAGCCCAAGAAAGGAAAGAAGCTTCTGGATTTTAGTATCTTTTCCAACCGAGGGTTTATCATTTACACTATTTCAAAGTTCATCCTGGTCTTGGGTCTCTTCGTGCCCCCCATATTGCTGGTCAACTATGCCAAGGACACAGGTGTACCAGACACAGAGGCTGCATTCTTGCTCTCCATCATTGGTTTCATAGACATCTTTGCCCGCCCAGCCTGCGGCATGGTGGCAGGGCTGAAGTGGGTCCGCCCTCATGTGGCGTACCTGTTCAGCTTCTCTATGCTCTTCAATGGCTTGACAGACATCTGCAGTGCCAGGGCTAGCAATTACACAGGGCTGGTCATCTTCTGCGTCTTTTTTGGCATCTCCTACGGCATGGTGGGGGCACTGCAGTTCGAGGTGCTGATGGCCATTGTTGGGTCTCAGAAGTTCTCCAGTGCCATCGGGCTGGTCCTACTTATTGAGGCTTTCGCTGTGCTCATCGGTCCACCCTCTGCAGGTAGGTCTCTTGCTGCAAAACACAGGTGATTCATTTGGCTGCCATTCCACAGTGTTGCAGGTATTGGGCATGGGCACGGTACTTGAAGACTGACCCTATTTCTTGACTTCAGATTTCCTCTGGAAGCTGAGATCTGAAGCGAGAACTCCTAGTCTCACTCTATGCATCACAACACTGAATCTGGGCAGGGGCAGAAGGTGGCAAGTGATATTTCTCTCTCTGCTCAGAGACCTGAGCGATGGCAGGCATATAGAGCTATCCAGAATGGCATGACTTCCAGCGTTCCTCAGTCCTGATCAGTGGCACTTCCCTCTCTTTCATGCTGGGATCCAGGTCTCTGCCTTCACTGTGAATGTTGCATAAAATCATGTTATGGGTAGGGTCAGGCACATGCTGCAGGCAAACCTTTGAGTGTCTTCAGTAGGACAAGGTGAGGGTCTTTCAAGTTCTCCTTGGTGTCCATGGCCTTTTGATGGGTGCTGTAGGTAATGATCTCAATTTGTGTTGGTCCCAATCCCAAGGCACAGGTGTTCTGGTGCCAATCAAGTCAGAACAGTTTGTCAGCCACCTGAGGCATTTGCTGTTACTTTTTTTTTAAGAGGATTAAGACACTCACAGCTTTTCAGCCAGTCTAGTCTAGGCCACAGTCCCTGGTAAGCTCCATGCCCCACAAACAGCCTATAAACAGGCTGTTGAATGGAGAGAGACCCTTCACCCAAGAGGTTGGTGTAGGTTATTGTTAAGTGTCTGATCAGGTCTGAGAAAGCCAAATCATGCCAAAGGCTTGTTTCCAAATGAAGTGCAGTTCCCTGCATGTGGAATTTGTAAAGAAGGGTCAGGGACAGACCATGGGCAAATCCCCGGGCAGGAACCACTCCGTTGCTTCCTGCACTCCCTTCCCTCAGCTGCAACACCTGGGCTAAAGCCCATCACTGAAGGCCTCTGTGTGAATGATCTTTTCCCCAGCACATACCACCAGTTATGAGCAAAACCCGCCCTCAGCAACTCCACCCATCTCTCAGGTAAGAAGTGGTGGCCTAGAGAAGACCCTCTTGATGCTAACAATAATTCATGTCCCATCTTACAAACCGTGGGGCAGTCGGCAGTCCCAGGTCAGGGAGGGTCAAGAAATATGTGTCTTGGAGGCAGCTGCGGAGAGATCGTGGTGGGGGGGAGAGGGGGATTTAGCAGCACCTTGCTCCAAGGAGCAAGGCACACCAGTTGGTGGTGATGGGGGACATCCCTTAGCCCTCCTGCCTCAGCTCAGCTGTGCCTTGGTACTGTGCGCACGCACAATGGGACGCAGACGGTGCAGGATCACCGAAGAACGGCGTTGGGGGGAGCCAAGTCGTGGTTCCCACCTTCCCCCCAGGGGGATCCGCTGCTGCAGGACCCCCCTGGTACGGGAAGCTTGAGTGTGCTGGCAAACCCGGCAGCTCGGACTCGGGGGAGCAGTGCTCGGCTGGAAGAAGGGGATTGAACAAAGTGGCTTTGTTTGGTGTAATCCTCCTGAGCTGCTTCCCGCTCTGTGGGGCTGCGGGGGTTTGGCACAGGATAAGCTGCACACACGCACACACGCGCGCGCGTGCACGCAGGCTCCTCGCTCGCCGTCCGGTTTGGGTGAACAGGGGC